TTACATTTTTCAACAGAAGGTGGTATGTTCTTAACAGCGAAAAACATAAGCTTAGAAAAATTTACCACGGTTTTATCAGAAGCGAATGGCCAAAAAAAAAACCGCATACAGTGCTAATAATCCTCAATGTTTATCTGGCCTCTAAATGAATATAAGTCTGGAATGCTATTTACTGACGAAGCTACGGTCACCACGGTAGCCTTTTTTCAAGTACAAATGACAACTCTAATGACAAAACATTTTGTATTGAATGTACCCGAAAAGTTTGAGGTCGGCTTGTGGTCTATCAAGTATCAATATTCGACTAGGTTAGAAGCCTATGATGTTTACATTGCATTCTTTGTCGCCAAGATTGTGTAGTTCTAAAAATTTTGGCTCATTTGTCTATCATTGCCTACCAAAGTGACACGCCAATACAATACATCAGCGAATTTTTTTCTCTGGAGGGGTATGCAAGTAGCCAATCGTACTGAGTGTACCTAGCAAGGCAGAAATTCTACCTCTGTTGTGATGTTAATCGCAAACAAACAGCAATAAACTAAATGAGACAAAAAACGAATGTAAATATACTAAGTGACATATAAATCCGAACGCCCAGTTTAAATGGTTTTATTTTAATAAAATTTTGTATAAGTACTTAATGAAGCATAATAAGTAAATGATAAAAGTTTCAAAATGATTGCACTGCTTTAAAGCCCTTTGACCTTTAATAATGTGTGGATGCACCCTGATGTGCTACGCATTCTCCAACGCGCCTAGGCATGCTTCTGATCAGGTGGTCCATGTCCTCCTGTGGTATCTCATTCCAGGCAACCACCAACTCCTCTCGAAGTGCTTCTAGAGTCTGAGGAGGACGTTGCAAATTGAGCAATCTCCTACCCATCATATCACACACGTGCTCAATTGGGGATAAGTCGGGAGATCTTGGTGGCCATCGTAGCAATGTGACATCATTATGTTGAAAGAAGTCTATTGTGACTCTTGCAACATGTGGTCGTGCATTATCTTGTTGGAAAGTTCGATCTGCCAGGGTGTCAAGATAGGGTAAAAGATGGGGTTCTAGAACTTCGTGGATATAATGGATATAATATATCATGTTACCTCTGATGAAGATTAAAGGTGACCTGGAACCATAAGCTATCGCTCCCCAAACTATAACTCCAACAGTGTGATGAACACGTCTTTCAACAAAAAACTGTGGATTCCTCCTTTCACCACGTCGCCTTCTAACCCTGGCACGACCATCGTGCATGCCTAAACAAAATCGAGACTCGTCACTAAAGACAATACTGTTCCATTCCTGATCCCAGAGTGACCGTTGTCTGCACCACTCAAGGCGATTACGTCGGTGTTCTCGAGTTAAAGGGAGGACCCAGTGTGGCCGGTATGAAAACAAGCCAAAACTTCTCATTCGTCGGTAAACACTTAGCATGCCAATAGGTCTTCCGTGTTCTGCAAACCATTCATTTGCAATGGACCTGGTAGTGGAGAAACGGTCCCTTAAGGCCAATAATCTTAGGCGGCGATCTTCACGGTCTGTTGTTCTACGGCGGCGTCCAGTGCCCCTTGCTCTTTGCGTACGGCCTTCTCGAAGCCATGCCTGACAACACCTAACCACAGTGTCTACACTTCTTTGCACTCTAACTGCAATTGCCCGAAAAGAAAGTCCAGCTTTCCGAAGTCCCACTATACGGCCCCTATCAAACTCACTAAGTTGACGAAATCGTACAGGTCTCCGTACTCTAGGCATCGTAACCGATCGTAAAGGATGTCAAGAACCAAAATCCGCCAACGTTGATTCTTTACTGCGGCTGAAATATTCATTTTTAGAGCGTTAGTGAATTAAAAAAAAGCAGTATAAAAACCGGAATGTCCAACTGATAAGGCTGAAAATTTTTTCACTTGTTATTTACAGTAAGATAAATACATTCACCAAATTTTATTAAAATAAAACCATTTAAACTGGGTGTTCGGATTTATATGTCACCTAGTATATTTACTAATGATCCCTAAACGTAATTTTGGCAAGTGAAAAATACGAAACATTATCTTGTCACTATATTTATCCAATAAAAAGTTCTTCAATATTTGACATTCATGGTTGTTTTGGGCCTATCTCGTGACAATAAAATGAGAACGTACAATTACTATACATATATAACGTGAAAGTTGAGACCTTTCCTAAGCGCTCATGGATTAAAAATTTAAGTAGATAAACTCAAAATTAAAGTTAAATAAAATACTTCTCATTTGTCAGTGTTGATCACAAACCAAAGGTGCAGTCAGCACTCAAATAAACAAGAAGTGGACTGAAATAAGTCTAACAACTGTCCAGGTAAGAGCCCAACGTTGAGGTACATGCCCTTCCGCAACGTCGCGTCGGTGACTATAATATATTAACACTTTTCGATCGATTATTCAGTATAAACGGCTTTTGGAATTCCACAGAAACCTTCACGATTTTCGACAATCTTCTGGAACACTATGACTGTATAGGACTCATGCACCTTCATACGCTTTCGCTGAAGAATACGAATTTCATATCAAATATCAGCAACTATCAAACTGGCGGCTCAAGCCTGATTGAATTATAGTGTAAACCTTCGTCCTGACTACAGACTATGACAATGGAGATAAACAAATCAAAGAATTGCTTTACATACATAGTATGAGTTCGTTAGTTGGAACGCTAATTTCGGTCTGCACATGCTCTGTTCAAGTCAGTAGTTTGATGGTTTCTTGTAACAAACCTTAGAATGCTGTTCCCACGTAGCTTCAGTATTATTTGGAATTAATATGTCACCAACCGAATGTTGCTTAACTTCCAACATTCCTGCTGGTCCCAGGATCTGTTTCAAAGCTCTGTGTGCCCTGAGGCAAAGTATAAGATATGTGCTCTCCCAAAGATTAATTGGAAATTTTGTGCTTAAAATCAGTCGATTCGTTTTCGAGAAAATTAGAAAAATCTCTATTTATCAGGTAGAAAACAAAAACACACGAAAATTTCACTCTTCATTTCAATAAGCGTTCAAAATGTTGCCCGTTAGGGTTTCCCAAGTCTACAACTCGTTTATAATTTGAAACAGAAACTACCGACATAAACAGCAATTGGGTAGATTAGACGTGACAACAACCAAATAACAACCCGAATTTTTATCTGCATTCTTTTCGTCAACACAGATATCCTGGGCAAACTGTATTTATTGGTATACCTGTTTAGTTATTTGCTGCTAAGGGAAAGAAATAATGTAATTTGCTGTCAGTTACATTTGTAACAATCTTGGGACAGTGAAATTAATTTATTGATTTACTAAAACTGGATCTGTTGCAAATATAAAACGTGATCATCGGAGAGTGTTGGATGAAGCCGCTCAAGTTGATGTTTTGGGTCATTTTGGAATACATTCCAATACTTCATTACGCAAAATTTTGGCTACGACTGGTATTTCATTAGGCCCTGTACACACAGTTACTTAAATTTCATCCAGTCAAAATGAAAATATTGCAAGGACAAACCGAAGATAATTTTGATAGGCGAGTTGGGTTTTGTCAACAAATCACTGCAGGGGTTAATGATAATATCATTCATGTAAAGAATATCTGATTCAGTGATGAATGCACATTTTATCTAAATGGATTTATTAATAAGCATAGTTGCAGCTATTGGAGCAATGTACATCCTCATGCTTTTGTAGAAGGGCATACCCAGTACCCCCAAAAGAATAATGTATCGGCAGGCGTTTTAGGAAAAAAGTGATTGGGACATTGTTTATTAATGGAAATCTGAATGGAGATATTTATTTGGATATGTTGAAGAATACCATCAATCCGCTTATCACTGAAAGCATTGGAAACCAAATCGAAGAGTATGGAAACCCTATACTTGATAAGGCTGAAATATATTTCCAGTAAGATGGCGCTCCTCCTCACTATGTTCTTCCGGTTCGGCAATGGCTAGATGACGAGTTTCCAGATAGATGGATAGGGCAAAGAGGGCCTATAGAATGACCTGCTAGATCTCCAGATTTGACGTCATTCGTCTTTATTCGATGGGACCATTTGAAATCTATTGTGTATATGTTTCTGAAAACGTCCGTCAGGAATTTGAACATCGCCTATATCATTGTTTGGCCAATAACGGGCAACATTTTGTACACTTATTGAAATAAAAAGTGATATTTTCGTGTGTTTTTATTTTCCATCTGCACAAATTAAAATAAAGGTTTTTCTAATTTACTTGAAAACAAATCGACTGATTTCAAAAAATCAAACGTCAAAATAAAGGACTTTGAAAAACCTTTCAAACAAGCTATTACTCCATACCCCCTGTCATTCAAAATTTTTAAGTGGATGACCCCGCGGGTAGAGGGTGAAACGGGGTGAAGTAGTTTTTGGTTAAAGAGTTGCCCCCCTTGACAAATCTTTTGATGTGTCTCGGCGTTTTTCCTTTTAATCAGTGGTTTTCGATAAAAAATATTCGCTTCCCGTGTTCCCTATTAACCACTTAACACAAATGCTAAACTTCGCCAATCAGTCCGCTGTAATTTTGTAATTCTGTTAATAAAGACGTCTATTATTATTATTATTTTAACTATGTTGAATCTGCACTCTCCAACGTTATTAGCAGTTTGTCAACAGATTTGACACAGGCTAGCTCTTTTTACAAAGAACTTAGCTACGCACACGTATAACAAGAGAATTAAATGGATGAAGTCAGTCAAACAGGTCCATATAAGTAGTCTATAGCCTTCGCTCGTTGAGTTGCCCGCGTTGCGCAGATTAAAAACACTTCTTTTTCATTCAAGTTTTAATGCCAAATATAGGGAAAACTATGATGTACGAAATATGTCTAAGAGGTGCGTAGAATTACCGGAGTCGAAAGCGTATAAATTTAGTCACACAAAAAATTGACGTATACTCTCCTCCATCCCTCCGATCTCCAACAGCAAATTTTTAGGTCCTAGAAATGTTTTTTGGAAATGATCATCTGCCTGTAGCATCGCCACCACTGCACTCATTTCGATAAGCTATAAAGCTCTTTCATCCTTGGCATAGTAGCAATCTTATGTGAACATTTCATTGAAACCCAAGCGATACTTCTCAAGTTATAGACTCTCCAAGGAATAGCGGACAGACAGACAGACCGACGTGATGTACCTACATGTCATATCCAAAACATGCAATATCTTATTTTAGAAATTTTTTGCGATTACAATACCTTTTCCCAGTGGCGTAGGAAGTAAAAGCGGTGAAGTATTAAGCTATTTAGCACCAATTTGGACGACGTAGCAAAATGCCCTGTAGATCGAATATTTTTCAAGAACTTTTGCGAAGTAAGCTAATTTCAGTGTCAAATATGGTTGCAATAAGACGTCAAAATTAATCGGCAATTTTGAGATTTCTCAGACCTTTTATTTTTGTTTTATTTTCTATTGGTGAATCTTATGTGGTTAATCGGCGGGATATAAACGAATAAGCCGACAAAAAGCGGTAGAGAAGGTGAGTATAAAGAAATTTTGAAATTTGCAGTAATGTTTTAGTTCAACAGAATCAAATGGAAAACAATGTGTAACATCGGCCATAAAACTTGTAGAAGGTTTCAGTGGCTACTCGGGATTTATTTGTTTGCTCTTGTGTCTTGATCACGATAAGTGTAATTGTAGCAGGTTATTGAAACCCATGGAACATCACGGGACTATGGCTGCCAGACACAGGCCACGCTACTTGGACGAAATCATGGAGGTGATCGTTAACATGAAAGAAGCGAAGGGCTCGACATCCAGGAGAATTTTGGATAGGGTGCATAACCTGCTGATATTGAAACGTAAAAAAGGCAAGGTGGACCCTACGCAGATCAAGAAGGCTCTCGTTAGAGGTACGTATATAGGGGGCCTCTTAACCCTTTGCGGCCTATTGGGAGCTAATTTACTTGGCGCCTGTCTGTATTATGAAATTATGACGATAATTACTGGTTGCCTATGACTTTTATATCAGCCAACAAGATAGATCAGCTCAGCTCAACTTCACATATAGAACTTTGAAGCAAGCACCACAAAGGCTGTTTTGCTGAATTTCATCTAATAATGGGTCGTTTCAGCTTTTAACTTATTTGGAGCTAACAATGCTATGTTGATTCATTTTTATCTCGGTGTAATAGTGTAAACATTCTACATACACGAGGTCTGTAAGTTAAGTGTTGAGACTGATTTTCCTTATTTTTTTTTATTCAAATATAATTACAATTATAGATTGTCACCCTGAAAATAACTTCCTTCTGAAGCCACACAGCGATGGAGACCGCTCTTCCACTCCGATGCTGGACTAGGTCCAGCCTTCAGCTGGTTGGTTACAGCCGTTTAAATGTTTTCGACTGTCCCAAAATGAGTTCCTTTGACGTGGTTTTTCAACTCCGGGAAAATAGCCACATGGAGTCAAGCCAGGCGAATAAGGAGGCTGAGGAGCCACAGGAATGTTTTTACTGGGCAAACACTCGATTATTGACATTGCTGTGTGACGAGGAGCATTACCGTGATGCAACACCCACTTTTTCTTGACCTAATGAACGATGGTGTGAGTCAAATCTAACTCTTCCTCGATCATTCTGACTATCAGCCAACGATATGCACGCACAAGATCCCGGATTCTGCCAATATTTTTATGGGTTCTTGAAGATGAAGGGCCTTCTGCTTCGTGGTTCAACTTCAATCGACGCTCTCCCTTCTGAAAATGCCTTAAACCACAGAAAAACCTGGGCTACTGACAAAACATCATATCCGTAGGCCTGTTTAGCAATAGTTTTCGTTAAACTGTTTACTTATTTCGTATGGCATTGATGACGTAACCTAAAAAAAAAACGTGGAAGGAACTATACAATATAAAATTAATGATGTCATATTAAAAATTTAAACCTGGTCGCAAAGGGTTGTTAACGAATTTATCAGGAGTAACTTTGCAGATGCTAATTCGTGGTGTTGAGCCTTGCCAGGTAATCCACTTTTTACCTGGTACAGACCTATGTCGCAGTACCCACATTAGGGTCACATTCGCAAGAACTGTTATTTTATTAGAATCTGTCTAGTGATGGCGGAGCCATAAGCAACAACAAAAAAGTCTCTTTGTATGTCTTCAAGCTCTTGATATTTTTTGGGTGTGATCAAAGTTCGGAATTTCAAAGATCAGACATCTTTCATTTTACAAGTTGATCTTGAGATCAAGCTGTGTACCATCATGAAAAAACAAAAATTCATGTAACAAAATCTAAGTACAACGCGACTCTGTAACGGTTCTAGTGCTCTTAAAATCCTTATTTTGCCATTTATACGTATATTTGCATGCAATAACAGTACGAAGTAAATCTCCCTGACATTGACAATCTATCTGCGGCATGATTTCCTATTTCTTCCCCTAACTCACTTTTCCGACTTCTGCTGACGCATCATGTGCTAAGTTTAATCATGCTTGTGCTTATTTGGGCAAAACGTTTTGGGGGTCGCTCCCTTAACCTAACATAGCTTTTTTTGAACGGGGAAAAGCTTTTATAGCCTATCAGCCACAACATCTTGACAAACTAAGATATAGGAAGACATATAAATAAAATAAGATAAAAGTGTCATGTAGTGGAGAAGGTCACCGTTGTGACCGAAACGTATACTAGATTAAAGAAGAATTTCAAATATAATGTGGTTTCATTGGCCAGACAAACATTTTTTTTGATACCGAAGCAGCCGCGCATGCAGAAGCCTAAATGCCGGAACACCGCGACTGCTATGATGATCTCAAAAAATTTTGTTAATACGATTTTTGAACTGCCTAAGCTTAGTGAAACTGGGAAAAGCTTCCTCTTGTAGATTGTTGTGACACGGTTAGAATGGGATGCCAAAGTCAGGCGGGTCTGTTTGGCAGGCACATCGCGCGGCGGCATCATGGACTAGAGCTCTGAGGAGCAAAGCCCGTTGATGGAGCGATAGAAAAGAGCTAGATCGACGACGGCCCGCCGTTGCGAAAGGGTCCCGAGACTGTCTGTTGGAGAAAAGTCATCTATCAGTCGGACCACGCTCCTTTCGACAGCATCGAGCATAAATATGTAGTCGGTGCGGCAGCACCCCAAACGTGTGAGTCATATCCGAGGCTAGGCCTTATCTGGGCCTTGTATAGAGTGAGAAGGTCATGCGGAGAGAAGTACTTCTTAGCCCTGAACAAATAGTCTAGCTCTTTCCCAGAAGCTGCCGCTATTGACGAGATGTGTTCGTGCCAGATCAGGTTGTCGGTGATCGGGGCTCCGACCAGCCGAAATGAATGGCTCTTTGGTAGAACTCGGCCATCCATCGACACCGGATGAGCGCTCGGACGCTTTTTGTTCGTCAAAGTACAGTACTGTGTTTTGGAAGCTATAAACTGTACGAGATTGTTGCGTCCCCAAGCCGCGATAACCTCCAGGTCTCTCGTCAGAGAGGAAGTTGTCGCTAGTCTTCTTTTTTCCAGCTCACTGGCAGAGATGGGCTTGTCACTCTGAATTCCTGCATGTAGAGTGCTATCATCAGCGAAGCTGTGGATTGGATTGATCGTACAGAAAAGGAGATTGTTGATATGTAAGAGGAAAGGTGTTGGAGCCAAGATCGATCCCTAGGGAACACCCGGGTTGATGTTGTGGGATGAAGAGGAGAACACGTCAATTATGACGGACATCTTGCGGCCAGGACGGAAGTCAGCTACCCATCTGCAAAGCTTTTCTGGGAGGCCATAGGATGGAAGCGTGCCACAGCTGATCGAATGCTTTCGTGATGTCAACGACATGAGCCTCTCTCTAGTTTTTGGCATTGCGAACCGCTTCGTTATATTTGTTTCTGGACTCGACGTCGGCTTGTCTGTTCTCTACAGTGGGGTTTTGTAAGAAGGTACTGTAAGCCTTGATCTTCTACTGGAGAGCAGTGTCACACGATTTGTTAAACCTGCCGTTGGACCCTGGCTTAAGCACTTTCACTGTGTGAGGGATGTATTCCTCCATTACGATGTAGATAACGTCTCTCCAAGGAAAGGTAGGGAAGAAGTCTCTGAGCCCCTCCCATGTCCGTAATGCCAAGTTTTGCGGCCTGTACGAGTTTGTGCAGCCACAGCGGGTTCTGACCGAAACCTAACCTCCACAACACCATGGTCTGAGTTAATCAGGGGGGACAGGACAGCAGTGCTGTAAGGGACAGGATGCGTGGTCAGAAAGAGATCCAGCAGGCTACTGGCGTGTGACGAGACGCGGGGGAAAAAAGTAGGGCTCGTCACCAGCTGGGTCAGCCCTTGAGTAAGAGCGAACGCTTCGACTGCACGGCCTGCTGCATCGGTCTTATTTGAGCCCAACCAAAGCTCATTATGGGCATTGAAATCACCGAGAAGAGCTACCTCTGAAGCGGGGTGATTGACGTTCAGGAAGTCGATCTGGACGGCGAGGTATTCGAGTAGGTCATCCCAGTTATGGTTCGAGGGAGAGCGGTAAAGGCAGCAAATATATTTGGGTGATGTTTTGGAGTTGAGGCGAAGCCACAGAATGTCCTTCCGGGCTGATTCCAAAGAAAGATCCCTGGAGCAGGAAAGACTGCTGCGGACAAAGAAACAACTCCCCCGTTCTTTCTCAGACTGGATTGCACCCCGTAATTTGGGAAGTTAAGGTGGTTAATCGGTGCAGACTCTGAGATTTTTTCCCCGCCAAGAAAAGCATGGCGGAACGATTGGATTGCAGGTAGTAATGAACAGCATCAATGCTGCTGTTAATCCCGCAGATGTTCGTAAAACAAATTTTATCTTCGATGTTATTCCCTCGCGCCCACCCTCTACCCGGACATTCCGACATTCATTCCACATTCCACACGGGGGATTACCGACATGAAAACCACAGGATAAGTTTCAGATGTTACGTAAGTATTGGAGTTTTCTGTCCGAAGTGTGACATTTTCGAGAAATGCAGCACACCCTTTATAGCCGCTCACCTGTTCGTCGCAGATCCTACCACGGTGATGCTTGGAGCATTTCGTCATAATTGGTGATGTCTCGCTAAGTTTTCGTACTTGGGTATTTAGTTATTCTCTATATTCGTACCTATTGTATATTCACGATCTAGCAAGTAGAAATCTAATGTTAGTTGCTAGGTTAAATGGCAGGGCATCTGCCCTCGCTTACAGGTCTTGTAAGATTGTCAGCAGAGAGCCTCTCGCTCAGCATCATTTACGGCTGTCTCAGGTAGTCAACCCATCTACCAGCATCGATTAGATTGTTAAGAGTGTCATCTTTATTTCAATATACACAGTCTCTCTTTCCTACGATCTTCAGACATTGTCGAAACAATTATGCCATGTGAGGAACTTTGCGGTATAGTAATCAATACGCACCGGCGCACCGCGCCCTTTCATGCTCTGAATGGTCCTATAAAGTAACGCGTATCCTCAAAGCTTCTAGGTTTATACCTTTCTGATAACTGTAAATGGAAGAATCATATAATAATATAACTGCATTATAGTGAATAAAAAGATTGCTCATTGAATACAGATTTCAGAAAGGCACCACACGTACTATTTGGAATAGAAAAAAGAGACAGCTGCTTTTGTAAGTGACTGACACACTGCAATGTAATTATTGGATTTAAACTCAAGTTGTAACGATTACCGATCAGTGACATGCTAAATAGTACAAAGCTACATTATAAGTTTTTTAAAAACTTAAGAAAAAATTCAATATCTGAAAAACGGTGACACTTTTATATAGGTAAGATTTTGTTATTTGGGAGGTCAGTTCAAAGCGTACCTTCTCCTTTACTTTGTCGTGGTACTTATTGCACACCCTGTATATATATATGTAATAGGAAAATGATGGGCAACGTACGCAAAAAGAAGAAAAGTGGATTCGAGCAGACAATATGCTAGGTAACCCGAGCGATACGTACTTGTGCTGGCTGGCTCCATCAGGTCGGAAATGAATGCACATATAAAACTACAAAAGTAGATACACATGCCCATACATCCGCATTCAGGTGTAACCTGAGGAAACGAAGATGGAGAGGGAAAAAATCTCTCAGGAACAACAAGAGCCACATTGTAGTATAAAACGGCTACAGGTTTCTCAGAAAAACTGTCGTTCACTTGATGTTCACTTGTACTAGATGTGCGTGTTGCCTAAACGTAATTACATTTAAACTATATGGTTTGACTCTGTTTTGATGTAACATCTACTTCAGACTTGGGACTAGTGAGGACTATTCGTAGCTTTTACAGCCTAAGCTGTGTGTTCTATATTATTGCCGAAATGACGGTCGTTGTACCATTCCTCTATAGATGCCGCTCATAGCGGGTAGGTACAAAAGGAACTATCGTCTACTTAGTGCACAACTGGACATTTTACCGATTTCTGGTGACATTCTATCGATTTTGTACGTAATTCCCCTACCGGTAGTACGAACTTTCAATTTGTCTGAAACTACCCATTGCCTGATTTTTTCAAAAATGCTTTCCAGGCGTGGAATGCGGTGTCCTAATGAAGAAGAATGGCAAATACAAGTTGGGCCTTGACACCAAGGACTATGCCATCTACCGGAGCTGGACTGGCAAACATGCTCGTCAGGCAAGGACACGGTCTAGGCGGTCTAGAAGAAGAAAAGAAGTCACAGGAGAGGCAGGAGGGGCAGGAGGATGAGGAGCAGAAGCCGCAGTCTGGGTAGGCAAAGAGGGAACCACTACAGCTCCAGTGATGAAGCGGACGATTATGCGTCTGATACGTCGGGAGAATACTCCCAATCCGGTACACAGACTGTGTTGTCTCTAGTTTTATTAAAATCTACAGACTATCTGCCAACCAACAGCAAATACCCCACGTCACTTCCTTCTTCTTGAACATCAAGTTTGTGAGGGTACTCTCATAAAGTCCAGAGCCATGTTTTGGTCATAATTGAGAAATATAACCCTATAACCATATTATGGTAGATGGTCGGAACCGGTTGTTCGACTTTTTTAATTTGCCCTTTTAGTATCCTTAAAATGGTTCAATAAAGACAAACTGATCGCTTAACTGGACTCAAAGACTGCAAAAACCTACATGACACTCGGCAGGACTCGACTCTGGTTGTTGAACTTATCTTCAATTATCTTCATATTAACAGAGATTAGAAAAACCTACATAAGCGACATCTAATTGGGCTCAATTGTCCAGCCTCTTTAGAAAGTGTCCCTGAAATAACCTTTAAGTGACCCAAATGCCCTCATAGATGCAAACTAACAGCGGATTTGGAAAGAGTAACCCAAAAACCGCTGCTCGACTGATTACGTCACAAGAATACCGTATAAATGGTTTTTGTCAGCTTTTCGGTGTGCGTCAGGATAACAAATATATCTGCCTGGAAGGCCGCAAATGGATAGCTGTCCTTCACGTCCTTGTCCTTCACACACAATTCCTTTCCACTAGATCCTGTCTCCTCGAAAAAGGGCCGTTCGTTGCGACATACGAAGCTATGGAATAGAAGTTTTATATTTCCTTTCATTCATTGCGAACATATTCCCTATCCAATTCTATGGTTTTATTAACTATATATATACAGGGTGGCGCATCGAAAACGAAACAGACGCATTTACTGGCAGCTCAGTTTTTTTTTGGAAAAACGCTCAGGCCCGTCGATTTAAATCTTAAATGGAAAGGGGGGTCGAGTGATACCTTATTTTAAAGGTCTTTCAATTCCCTTTATAATGATGTAAAGTACATGTTCAGCAGTTTTGAAGATTTATTGATTTAAAGCTTAAAGTAGACTTAGTTTGTACTACTTTCAGAAGAAATTTGACTAAAACAATTTTCTCAATAAGTAAATGCTTTTTTTCACTACGCCCATGGTTTGATTATCATTTTGTTGTTGAAAATAGCTCTTGGAGCGTTTTTTTGTGGCAAAAAAGTTATTTCTTGAAGAAAGATAAGGAAAGATCTCGTACTTATTTTAAACAGGAATTAAGTACATAATTTGAGATTGATTTGACCAAACTTTGTTGCTAAAATAACTTGTAACGCTTTATTACATAAATGAACCATGGTATATTCCACAGCAGAAATAGTTGAAATTATCGAAATATTTTTCGGAAATAATCAGTGCGCTAATAGAACAGCAGAAATATTTAATGAGCGACATGAGAACAGTAACGTGCATCGAAAATATGTTCTAGAACTTGTAGCTAAATTTCGGGAAACTGGCTTAGTCGCCAATAAAAAACGCAACATTGAAAATTCCAGGAACGAAGCAATAGAAGTGGGGGTCCTAGGGCAAGTTTATGTAGATCCTGCGTTAAGCACCCGCAAATTTTAGACTGTGTGTGGTGTTAGTCGACGTACTGTCCAACGGATTCTAAATGCCCATAGTTTTCATCCGTATAAAAGTCACCTGGTACAAGAACTTAATGAAGACGATTTTGATCGGCGATTACAATTTTGTGAAGATATGAGTGAAGGAATTATAAACGATGAACATTTTCTACTCAACACTTGCTTTCCCGACAAATGTTCCTTTTTCTTAAATGGCGTAGTAAATCGTCATAACTGGCGATATTGGTCCGATTCTAATCCCAGAATTTATCATGAGGTTCATACACAGCAGCCACAAGAAATAAATGTTTGGGCTGGTATTTTTGGCGATCATTTAGTTGGTCCTTTTTTCTTACCTGGAAATTTGACCGGTGAAATGTATACTAAGTGACATATAAATCCGAACACCCAGTTTAAATGGTTTTATTTTAATAAAATTTTGTACAAGTACTTAATGAAGCATAATAAGTAAATGATAAAAATTTCAAAATGATTGCACTGCTTTAAAGCCCTTTGTCCTTTAATAATGTGTGGATGCACCCTGATTTGCTACGCATTCTCCAACGCGCCTAGGCATGCTTCTGATCAGGTGGTCAATGTCCTCCTGTGGTATCTCATGCCAGGCAACCACCAACTCCTCTCGAAGTGCTTCTAGAGTCTGAGGGGGACGTTGTAAATTGAGCAATCGCCTACCCATCATATCCCACACGTGCTCAATTGGGGATAAGTCGGGAGATCTTGGTGGCCATGGTAACAATGTGACATCATTATGTTGAAAGAAGTATATTGTGAGTCTTGCAACATGTGGTCGGGCATTATCCTGTTGGAAAGTTGGATCTGCCAGCGTGTCAAGATAGGGTAAAAGATGGGGTTCTAGAACTTCGTGGATATAACGCTGCGCGTTCATGTTACCTCTGATGAAGATTAAAGGTGACCTGGAACCATAAGCTATAGCACCCCAAACCATAACTCCAACAGTGTGATGAACATCTCTTTCAACAAAAAACTGTGGATTCCTCCTTTCACCACGTCGCCTTCTAACCATGGCACGACCATCGTGCATGCCTAAACAAAACCGAGACTCGTCACTAAAGACAATACTGTTCCATTCCTGATCCCAGAGTGACCGTTGTCTGCACCACTCAAGGTGATTACGTCGGTGTTCTCGAGTTAAAGGGAGGACCCAGTGTGGCCGGTATGAAAACAAGCCAAAACTTCTCATTCGTCGGTAAACACTTTGCATGCCAATAGGTCTTCCGTGTTCTGCAAACCATTCATTTGCAATGGACCTGGTAGTGGAGAAACGGTCTCTTAAGGCCAATAATCTTAGGCGGCGATCTTCACGGTCTGTTGTTCTACGGCGGCGTCCAGTGCCCCTTGCTCTTTGCGTACGGCCTTCTCGAAGCCATGCCTGACAACACCTAACCACAGTGTCTACACTTCTTTGCACTCTAACTGCAATTGCCCGAAAAGAAAGTCCAGCTTCCCGAAGTCCCACTATACGGCCCCTATCAAACTCACTAAGTTGACGAAATCGTACAGGTCTCCGTACTCTAGGCATCGTAACCGATCGTAAAGGATGTCAAGAACCAAAATCCGCCAACGTTGATTCTTTACTGCGGCTGAAATATTCATTTTTAGAGCCTTAGTGAATTAAAAAAAGCAGTATAAAAACCGGAATGTCCAACTGATAAGGCTGAAAATTTTTTCACTTGTTATTTACAGTAATATAAATACATTCACCAACTTTTATTAAAATAAAACCATTTAAACTGGGTGTTCGGATTTATATGTCACTTAGTATATTTGGAATTACTGGAAGACGCCATAGATCCTGCATTAACAGCCATCAGAATGATGGGCGGTACATTGCGAATAGGTTGATGTTCCAACAGGATGGTGCCCCACCACATTACGCATTACGTGTTCGACAATATTTAGATCAGACGTTTCCAGATCGACGGATTGGTAGAAGAGGTGCCATTGAATGGCCCCCAAGATCGCCAGATTTATCACCTTTGGATTTCATTATGTGTGGTCATTTAAAAAGCAAAATCTATGCTACTCAGCCAACATCATTAGAAGACCTGCGCCACAGCATTGTGAATAGGTGCCTTCAAATTACTCCTCAAATATTGCAAAATGTGCGGCAACGTTATGAGCAAAATCTTTCTTATTACATGGAGAGTCATGGTGGCCATTTTCAACATTTACTTGCCTAACGGGTCAGTTCATTCTTCATTTTCAAATTACTTTGCTGCCAAATGTATTGATCTCCACTAATGATGATGTATTAGTTTTATTTAAGCTTTAAATCAATAAATCTTCAAAACCATTAAACTGAAGTACATTTCATAAGGGCCCGCTTTAGTGGCCTATGCACTGGCTCCTTATGGTGGCCGGAATGCCTCTAATTTCAAGATTCATTCCAACTGAAGTACATTAATTGTGTATCATTATAAAGGGAATTGAAAGTCCTTTAAAATAAGGTATCACTCGACCCCCCCTTTCCATTTAAGATTTTGGGGGTGGTGTCACCCCCGCTTAGGGGGCTGCACGTGCTAACGTGATTTTTGACGAACTGGTGTCCCCCTCGAAAACAAAATCGACGGGTCTGAGCGTTTTTCAAAAAAAACTGTACTGAGAGTAAATGCGTCTGTTATATATACAGATTCACTTCGAAGTTGAGTCATTTATTTTAACAGTGAGTAGATCTGACCTGATTTTTTTCCTTTAACATTTTTGTGTTAAAATTAAAGTAACAAAGTTATAGCCCTTTAGAAGTTTGAGTACCGCCCTGTCTCAATAATAATATTATGTGCTCGTGTTTGGCAACAACGGATATAATCCGCCTTATCGGTTCATCGCATCGGAAAGAATTTGAAACGCTGATCACGATGTTTTTATTCAGTCTGTGTCAGTCGCTAACGCGTTAGTGAATATGGTGTTTGCTGGTGGCTCTAACGAAATATAAAATGGCACATGTTTATGCGGATCGGTTTCCCAATCGAGTGCAACCAACCCCTCGTGCCTTTGTTAATGTAGTACAACGGGCTCGTGAATCAGGTGACTTAAGACCTCACAGGAGAGGGCATGCCGGTGCTCCAACACCTCACGATCAATACAGGTCCGCACTGAAATACTTGTCGGGAGGATACTTTATAAAACAAGGTACACTTTTTTTTATTTTTTTTTATTTTTACACACATATTTTGGTTTATCTTCCTTCTACAATCATTATCTGAAAATTAATGACTCAACTTCATATATAAAATTGACAGACATAATCGAAACTATTAACTCGTTTGATGTATAATGATAAGCTTTAAAGAATGAATTCCGCTTCTAATAGAGACAGAAGGTTTTACTATTTAATATTTCGAATACATTTTGTAGATGCATCCGACAAAGACGACAAGAAAACAATAAGAAGAAAAAGAAACAGGAAAAGACAGTTCAAAAGAATGCTCCAGTCAACAAACGTTCATCAAACCATAGAAGGAATTGTTCCAAAGGCCCTCAAGATGGTGGAATAAGCACGTTATACACAAAATCGGAAAGAAGTATCGCAAGTATAAAAGAGATAAACAAACGTAGATCGAAAAGCAGAAGTACATCCAAGCTCAAGAGCAAACGCTCTAGTGCCGAGGGAATTGGTGATAGGGATGATAAAGGTAACTAAACTGATAAGAATAAATATCTCCTGAATATATATTTGCTAGTATACC